CCAACCCCGGTCCCTGTCACAGCTCTTGTTCGCCAAGAAACCATGATGATTCCATCAACGCATCAGGATAAGGTAGATCTGAATTCTCATCACGTATAAATGGCTTGGTAACGTCGGCGCAGAACCTTCACTGGGCAGAGCAGATTTTCTCTCTTCCATTGCCTTCTCGAACAGCATTGAAAAACCCGAAACAGTAAACACTTCCTTCCCTTCAACAGCGATATGAAAAGGTGTAACTAATAGGTTGTAGATCACGAGCATATGGTCCGTTTATCCCAGAGGGCAACAATGTTATACCACCAGATCGAAAGATTCTATTTCGGCGGTATGCTATCCCTGAGTCCATCAAATCAACCTATGTTCCTGTTTTGTCCCGAGTTAGACTGATCTTGAGGGGTGGTAGATCTTTCGACAACGACAGCCTCTCTCTCTCCGTCTTTATCAACCCAAGTAATGACGCCCCGTATGCTCTTCTTCGGACATACAATGCTGGTAACCGGTGGTACTGCTTGAAAGGGATTCATGAACTCCGAGTTCTTCGAGACGGAAGCGCACTGCAGCTCAAGCGATGGAGCCACAGGGATAACCACAGCAAGCTCTGGGCGCTCCTATATTTCCTCACTTGGGAAGGTGAGAAGCATATCTTGTCAAACCCGCTGACTCTCTGATGTTGACGCTCAATATAGAGATGGTACTCTTCAATTGCTCATTCGTGGCCCTAAAAGCTCGAAATACTTTGACTGTGCAAATACATCCCGACGAGTACAAGCTCAGCAAAGAGAAGAGACTATTTCAAGCGTATGTATCCTCGAAATCGCGCTAGACTAACCAGAGGTACTCAACCTAATATCATTCTAGACAAATAATCGATGATGGATACCAACATTCTCTCATTGTCTACGAAGACATACAGACCCATGGCCTCCGACTCCACGCCGCGGTTTGGGAAGGCGAACTTCGACAGTGTCCCGTTTGGACAGCGTTCGGTAAGTGATATGACACGAAGAGACCAGGATTGTGTGTCTGTAAATGACGAGTTGTGAGCTGACCTTTATTCCTCACCTTTAGTCACCCACCAAGCCGCCTCTGCAAGCTGGCTTGTACGCAGATCCAGACACCGCATCTGGCTCAAGGACATCAAACTTTATGTCTTCTGTCAGAAGTATCGAGAAGACAACATGCGCCAAAACAAGGCCGGCGCATTTGAAATCTACTTTGTCAGCGACGAAGGTCAGCACATTCTCCCATCTAGTCTCATGAATCGCAATCGACCTGACTGACACACCGTCCAGCATCCCAGCGATTCAAAGAGGTCTTCTATCCCTCTATTTCATCTCCCGAAGCCTCCGAGGCGAATTAGCCAATGATCTCTAATGCTCCTCTCATATCCAGCTCCTACAAACCACCCCTACCGAATGAGGTACTCCCGACAGAACACGCTGAACACGAATCATCGCACGTCAACAGCCGACCGATGCATCGCTCGCTCATTGATCTTCCCCTTTCATCACACATTCATGAACTCCCAGCTTCCGATTATTTGATTTCTCCTTCTACCGACTTTATGAGCACAAGACTGAAACGAGACACGACTTTGCTTTGTGAAGCTTTTTTCTATTTCTTTTTTCTAGCCTGTGAATGATGATATCATGGGCCGCGTCGCACGAGAGCAATGCCAGACGCTGCAGTTGGCGAGGCAGATTGATGATACCCCCCATTCCATTCAGCATTGGTTTTCTTGCTTTCTTTCTTTTCTTCTTCTTTCTCATTGGCTTTCTCATCTGCTTTCGAGGAAATACCCCCATGTGATGGAATGCAATGAACGGAAGGACGAAATTAGCCCGGTCATCGTCGTGAACGAACCAGGGTGGCGTAGCTGGAAAGGTGGCTAAAAATGAGAATGTACACTACGAATGGGGGCAAAGGGGGGTGGGGGGGTTTCCGCAGGCAAGGGGAAACATTGACTTATGGGTCAAGCCTTGATTGATGAGAAACATGTTATGATGAATGATGTATGTTGTAACGGTTCGAAGATAGTCCTAAACAATAATGTCTGTCTTGTTTTGAGATACTCGGGATCCGTTGGTGAGTCACATCTTCGGCAACAAAAGCAACATCAATGAGCTCCTCGAAGTTTACAGATGCCAGATAAGTGCAAGTTTGTAATGTCCTTTTATTTCGTATCTCATGATGGGACGTATCGCATCAATACTCACGCTCTTAAGCAACTTTCCTTTCTGGCCCCTTTCCGGCCCGTTGGGAATGGTCTGACCTAACCAAGCTTACGTCTTGACATCCGGCTCATCACGGCCGACATACTGCTTAAACTTGAGGAGCTCCGTGGCGAACTTGATCTCGGGCTTCAGGAAGTCCTGAGCGTCCTGCTCGTAGGTCTTGGGGTCGCTGCTGTGCTGCTCGATGTACAGGCGGATGGTGGCGCCGGAGGAGCCCGTGCCGGACAGGCGGACGACGATGCGGCTGCCGGAGTCGAAGCAGGCGTACAGGCCCTGGTTGGAGGAGACGGAGCCGTCGAGGTCGGTGTACGAGAAGTTGCCGGCCTTTGTGACCTTGCGGCCCTCGACGGTGGAGCCGACAAAGTCGGGCTTGGCGACGAGGTCCTGCAGCGTGCCGACGACCTTGTTGGCGCCCTCCGAGTCGACGTTCTCGTAGTCGTAGCGCGTGAAGAAGGTGCGCCCGTACTCGGTCCAGAACTCCTTCTGGATCTCCTTGATGCTGGGCGTGACCTCCGGCTTGGCGACGCCGATGCCCGCGATGATGTTGAGCCACGCCACGATGGCCCACAGGCCGTCCTTCTCGCGGATGTGGTTGCTGCCCGTGCCGAAGGACTCCTCGCCGCAAATGGACAGCTTGTCGGCGTCGAACAGTGCGCAGAAGAATTTCCATCCCGTAGGCACCTCGTAGCAGTTCAGGCCCTGCTTCTTAGCGACGAGGTCGACGGCGCCGGAGGTGGGCATGGAGCGGGCGAGGCCGTACACGCCGTTCTTCTTGAAGTAGGGGATCAGCTGGGCATAGTGGGCGATGATGGCCAGACTGTCACCGGGGGAGACGAAGGCGCCGGCACCGTAGATCATGTTTCGGTCACCATCACCATCTGAGGCAGCTCCAAAGGGGATATTGTTCTTGTCGACGGTCTCGACCAGACTGTGGGCATAGGTGAGGTTGGGGTCAGGATGGCCACCGTTGAAGTCTGGCGACGGGATGCAGTTTTGTGTAGAGCCTGAGCCAAGGCCGAGCTCTTTCTCGAAGATAGCCTTGCCATATGGCCCAGTAACACCGGACAGGCCGTCGAAGAGGACCTTGAAGTCGGGGTTGGAACTGAAGAACTTCTTGATCAAATCGAAGTCGAAGATGTCCTTGAGCATCTCCATGTAGTCGGCTGTGCTGTCGACAATCTCGACCTCCAGCTTGTCTCCGTATGTCTTTGTGCCAATTGTGGAGATGTCAATGTCGGGGATATCGGCAATCTTGTAGGATGTGAGCGTCTTGGACGCCTCGAAGATCTTGTTTGTCACCGATTCGGGTGCAGGGCCTCCATTGGCAAGGTTGTACTTGATGCCGAAGTCGTTCTTCGGGCCTAAACACCGCGACATCAGCGACGCGTTCCTTCAATTCCTCAGACAGGCTGTCGCGAAATGATGCTATACTCACCACCGGGGTTGTGACTCGCAGTCAGGAGGATACCTCCAGTGGCCTTTCTCTTACGGATGACATGGCTGGCGGCGGGAGTGGATAGAATGCCATTCTGACCGATCAACAGCTTCTTGACGCCGTACGCAGTACCAATCTTCGCGATCAGCTGGATAACCTCAGGGTTCCAGAAGCGACCGTCGCCGCCGATGACCAGGAAAGCACCTGTGCAGGTTGGGATCAGTTGATCGTGCTCGTCTGCGGGGCATGGTTGGGCTCTGGGTCTGTTTACCTTCAGCGCCCTCGGGGATGGAGAGCAAAATGCTGGTGACGAAGGACTCGCTGTAATGGGGCTGCTGGAAGACGGTGACCTTCTTTCGAAGACCCGAGCTGGATGGGAGTCAGCAAGGTGGGCGATTCTGCGTGACGAAGAATTACATGATCTTTGGCAGTGGTGGTGCAGCGGTGCATCATGATCATGGCGGGGTAGCAAAGACAAAGATTGGGGGAGCTCTCACGTACGTTCCAGGCTTCTGGTCGGTGAAGGACTTGAACTCGACTGTATTGACGCTCATTGTGACCGGATGACTTGCAATTCAATTGAGGGTATCTTGGGAGGATGGAGGTCAACAGATTTTGTCGCTGTGTTGGGAGGAAAAGCAGGTGGTTGCAAGTCGAGATAGTTCTAGACGTAGACTCCAGCTCTGCTGTGCTGGAGGGGGAGCTTGCGGGCGAGCCAAGGTGGGGGGATCTGAAGTGACCTCATTGCCTCAAAATTACGTTGGACGGCACCTGCAGAGTGGCGCGAGCTGGAAAGCCAGCGATTATCGCTAATGTCGCCTGCGCTGGTCTTAGTCTCACAATAGCACATCAACAAGGTGTGCTCAAACATCTGATTCTTCCCAAAGGTATCCATCTATCTTCCCAGTCCACTTGCTGTACCTAAGACATTGTACTTCACTGAGTCCGATACTGCACTGTGGAGATACGCCTTGCCTCTTTTCTCTCCTTGATATAGGCCTGTCGGAAACAAACTGACGAGTACCTTATGCTTGACAGGGAGCAGCCAGTTGTCGCGATTGAACCCTGATCTTCTAATTCCATACAGACGCAGGCCGTTCTGAATCCGAGCTTGCTGACTAGTCAACCATCCTGCTTTTGCGCAAGGTTCGGAACGATTTCCTTCGCACACGCACATGCTGAAGAGCCAATAGCCTTCTTGAGGCGGCCGCTACAGATGCTTCACATGTGCCCTACAATGCAGCTTAGACGCCTATCTTCAGCTAGCCTTCGCTTCACCGTCTGACCGCCATCATGTCAGCTTAGCCCAGACGCAGCCCCTTCTCCTATAGAGGAGGCTTTTCTGAATTCCTTCAAGCTCAAGGGCCGGGGTTGTCAGAAGCTGTATAGCCACCTCACCTCACTCCGTAGTCTTAATAGCGGCAGGTTGGAATATGGCCTCCTTGTAGTACTTTGCCTCTTCAATGCTCTCGATGATATCCTGCCGCGCCTGGTGCAGAGCCTTCTTGGACGGGACCCGGCGTGCGATTTCAGGACACCAGCGCTTGGCCGCCTCCTTTAGAGTGCTGACATCCATGATCCTGTGATGCAGGTGCTGGGTGACCTTCTTGTACGGCTCCTTCCGGAGAAAGGCTCGGTCCGCGTGGACGCTGTTCCCCGCGAGGAGAGCTGTCTTGCGATCCGGGACGTACTTCTGGATGTAAGCAAGTAGCTCGTCGGCGGCTTGCTGCGCCGTCACGCTGGACTCGATGACCGCTGCCGTAAGGCCGCTCTTGCCGTGCACTCGGGTGCACCACTCGTCCATCATGTCCATGCGTTCCTTGGACTGGTGTATCACCGTGCCCCAGCCTGCCTCGTCGAGCAGGTTCAGATCGCCGTCCGTGATGAGGCAGAAGATCTCGATGATGTGGTCTGAATCGACATTGAGACCAGTCATCTGGCTACTTGTTCAGCGTCTGCAGTCGTTCTGTCGGGTTCATGTATAGGGACGTTACCTCGCAGTCGATCCAGACCAGGGGGGCGTTGTGGCTGGCCATTGTGCTTCTATGCCTCCCTTTCCACCGACTTGAGGCGTCAATTGGCAGTCACCGAGACAGACTCGTGATGATCGTCGGGAATTATGATAGGGTTGAAGCCAGGTAACGTTGTATGAAACTCCTTAGTGAGTTTTATGGCTTGAGCCTCACTTCCAATCCCCGCCAGTCAAGCTCATTGATGTACTGAGAAGTAGTGAATCACAGCAGCCGAATTGCAAAGCAATCTGGGTATGTGGGCGCGGTGCACCTCCATGCCGCCCCAAGCGGGGCCTAGTGAGCTTGACGATCCCACTAGAACCCCACTAACTCCCCATTGCATATCCCTATCAACAGTCGCAGTAGCCAACCAGTTGTCCTGGCCGGGCCCATGAGTAGCCCAGAGAGACTCGACATATAAGGGGGTCTGCATATCTCAACGTTTCGTAGCCCGCTGATACGAGATTCGCAGACGTGTTATCTCGACTACTTTGGTCGTGCGGGGTCTCACTTCAGCAGCTCAACTTCAAGTTCGAGGACCATCGAAAGCTTCTTCACCGTAACAGACTCACGAAGATGGCTTCCATGATTAAGAATGTCCTGTCTCCCACTCCGGTGGCCGAGCCGCCGGCTGCTGCTCTGGCGGACCCAGAGAAAGTGATTGTACAGCCACCACCCAAACCAGCAATGTCTGCCTCCCCTCCGCGTGTCCTCATCATCGGCGCCGGATCTCGAGGCCAGACGTACGCTAGGTGCACGACCACAGGGAGCAACGGGATCGTCATGGCCGTTGCCGAGCCGGACGAGTTCAAGCGGGCACAGCTCGGCCGCAAGTACATTTGGAGCAATAATGCTCCTACAGAGGGCTCACAATTTGCCTCCTGGAGAGACTTCATTGTCTATGAGAAGGCTCGCCGCGATCGCGTGCGAAACGGTGAAGCTAATGTACCCTTGGGTGTTGACGCCGCCTTTGTGTGCGTACAAGACGAGATGCACCGCGAGGTAGTCGTAGCCCTCGCTGAGCTAGGAGGTCTGCACATTATGTGCGAGAAGCCACTGGCTACACGACTCGAGGACTGTGTCGATATGTATCGAGCACTGAGGGCGAACAAGAACGAGAAGGGCGAGGAGATGGTGTTTTCGATTGGGCATGTTCTGAGGTATAGCCCGCATAACATGCAATTACGAAAGCTAGTGCTCGAGGAACGCGTCATTGGCGATGTCCTATCCGTTGTCCACACGGAGCCTGTTGGCTGGTGGCACTTCACGCACAGCTACGTCCGCGGGAACTGGAGACGGGAGGATACCAGCGCACCAAGCTTGCTGACGAAGAGCTGTCATGATATCGATGTGTTGGTATGGCTGCTATGCTCTCCGACACAATACAAACCTGGCACTACGCCACAGCCGCACCTGCCTTCGACTGTGCGAAGCGCCGGGTCTTTGCAGTATTTCAAGAAGAGTCGCAAGCCCGTTGGCGCAGGGAAGGCAACAAATTGCCTGTCATGTCCGGTCGAGGAGTCCTGCAAATATTCGGCTAAGCGTATATACCTCGGCGATAAACTCAAGGGCTTGGGAGCGGGCAACACAAATTGGCCCGTGAACATCGTCATGCCTGAGATTGAAGATATTGGCGCTACCGAGAAGGGAAACAAAGCACTTCTGGCGAAACTGGCTGAAAACTACGACGAGAATACCCCTGATTCCGAGGTCTCCAAGCGGAACTGGTTTGGCCGCTGCGTGTTCGAGAGCGACAACAACGTCTGTGATGAGGAGGTCGTGACCATCACGTGGGACGACGACCCGCTGCCGTCGTCGGGGGCCTCCGCGCAGGGCATCGCCGATCGCATGGGCGGCCGCGGCTCCAAGCAAGCGACCTTCCACATGGTGGCGCAGACGAAGAAGCAGTGCGACCGGTACACGCACATCTACGGCGTCGACGGCGAGATCTACGCCGACTCGCAGACCATCACAGTGGAGGACTTCCGCACGGGCACGACGGCCACGCACAAGCCACGCATCGAGGATCTGGGCCATGGCGGTGGCGATCTGGGCTTGGCGCGGCAGTTCATCATGGCGGTGGACAAGGTGAAGAATCACGGCTGGAGCACGGAGAGGGCCCAGATGGAGATGATTGGGTGTACCTTGGAGGAGGTCATCCGAAGTCATGCTATGGTGTTCTGCGCGGAGGAGGCGAGGCTGGGGAAGAAGGTCATTGACTGGCCAGACTGGTGGACGAAGGAAGTGGAAGAGAAGCTTGGAAAGGTATAATTGGCGACATAACGATTTGTTTTAGGGGCTCAGGATGGGATATTGATTACCAAGGTAGGTTTGAATGTTGGCGTACAGGGACAGCATCAAATATGCGTGAACTAAATCTGTCCTTGAGCGTGTAATGCGACCAAGTGTGTGGATAAATCAACTAGAAATTGATTGAAATGCTGCAAACTGGAAAAGGAAGTCTCCCCAATATCTTTGCATTCACCAAGACAAGACACTGCGGTTAGTTGTGTGCGACTCACATATCCCTCTACAGAACTCTTCATTTTCCTTTAGTTGCTTGCTTTCCAGCTCTCTTCTCGCAGGCCAGATCTGTCGGCCAAGCTTCTTCTCCTCTGCTTCATGTTCCTTCAACATTGGCCGAAGAAGGTTCTCAAAATATTCGACTGCTCTTTCCATATACGGATGAAGAGGACCAGCCGTATATGTATCGCTGCTCAACCCTCCTTGGGCCTTCTTGCCCAGCCACTTGTCCTCGTTCTCCACTTGCTTGAAGAAGTTGATCTCCGCATCGACCTCGGCTCGAGGCGTGCTTTTATTCACAAATACTTCGTAGTGCATGCGCGATGTGGTCGCGGATGTCGGAATGACGAACATCATGTAGAAGAAGTTCTTGGTGATCGTAACAGATGAGTTGGGATACATGAAAGTTGGACTCGCCACAATACCGTCTGCTTCCATCTCTTCGCCTAGGTGACGAATATAGCATAGATTGGGCTCGACGTCGAACTTCGTATGCTTGTTGATATGAGGCGCAATTCCCGGATGGGCAGTCGAACAGTGATAGCACTTTATTCATGATTAGGAACCTCCATAACTATGGGCAGAGATGGCATTCGGTGACTAACCTCATTATAGTTCTCGACGAGCGTCTTCCAATTGAAGTTGCAGTTATCCAAAGACCATGTATGATCAAACACATATTCGTCCAAATTGAAGTGCTTAACAATTCTGTCTTGGGTATCGATATCTTTGAACTGTTCCTCCCAGCTGATTGACTATTTCTCTGAGGCGTCAAGATTCACCCATACAAAGTCAAGCTGGTCGATGTGCAGATGGAGTTTGTACAATGAGTACTGGCTCTTGTCAAAATCCTCCTCGGGAACCGAGTCAAACCTAGGCGCCTTGGCGAGGTTGCCTTTGAAGCCATAACTCCAGCCTCAGTCAAGAAACGAAAAGTAATGTCAGTGACCTGCAATAGCTACGAGTGGAGGTAAATTCTCTAACCGTGATATTTGCAAGCAAGAATGCTTGCCTTTCCGGCCTCCTCGTGGACTATAGGAAATGCTCTGTGTCTGCAGACATTTAGGAAAGCATTGATGTTCCCCTGTCTATCACAGACTACGAAGAAGGGATACCCGGCAACTTCATATCGAGCATACTGCCCTGGAGTGGAAAACTGAGCCTTGTGAGACACAATTAGCCATATCTTTGATCTTTGAGAAGGCTGCTCTACGCTCCAACTCGTAGAACTCTGGTTCTCGAAACCACGATGATGGCAGAGTGTGAGCTGTCATATTGACAATTCTAAAGGTGATTAGCAAGAGAAGTGCAATTATCTCAACAATTTGATACTGTTGTGCTTCGGTATATTTAGAGAGTTATTCACGAGGCTTGAGGATTGGCAAGAATTTGATTTAACAGAGGTATTTACCACCCTGGTCACTGAACGCCAAATATGCAATCCAATTTTTTTTTTTTTTTTGGATCGATGAGGGACAGCTTACATGGAGAAGCAAGCTTGCGGTCTTAAAATAATAACATTATCAACCCTGCAAAGGATGATTTCGCCACTGGATAACGATGGTAAATCTAGGCAAGTGTCACCTGCCTGGTAACGAAACCTTTGATAATTGAATCTTGATTCAAGCTGTGCATCAAGGGTTTCGTAGCTTCAAACGGATTGATTGAGGATGTAGACATTTATCACATTGCCCTATCCTGTCCAACAGTATAGATGGCATTAATCTATTATCTGATAGAATGGGCGGGACTTATCAGGCGAGTTGATCCGGCCGCAGTCTCGATACCTTGAGAGCTTTGAAGCGAGTGATAAGAGAGTATTGATAACCACATTGATCTGATTGGCTCTATTTTTCCGCTTTCCTCCGGAGACAGGCCTCCGAAAGTCGATTCTCATGTCAATCCATCGATTATTCGTAGGCAAGGCGCGGGAAATCGTAGTTCGATACATTGTGCTAGGTAATTGCCTGGAATTGACTGAACTCTCTGAATCCAAAGGCAAAGTTCCTGAGCAACGACCTACCTTGCTTATTTAATGATCCTCACGGAGAACGCCTAAATCCTCATGTATGAACAAGCTAAGCATCTGACTAGGCCAATAAACTTCATTGCGAAGCATTGGTTGGTCTACCCAAAACTAATGAACATTATAGGCCTCATAGCGGTCCAACGCTTGACGTATGAAAACCGTAATATCGTCACGTTCTATGACTCCTCTTAACGGATCATGATATGAAAACACTTGCAGCATTAATATGGGGCTTGATAAACAACCTTGTGACAATCGTAAGGAGAACTCATTCCTCTATTCCCTCTGTTGCATGGATAAGACCAATGTATTCTTTCCGTCCGTAAACGAACCAAGAAAACGTCGCAGCAATCACGCCGCCGGCGGTGACCACGGAAGTGTCGTGGACTGCTGTATTCTTTGGTACTATCACGAGCAGATAGATTACAGTTGCAAAATAACTTGCCACATGAAGCGCCATAGCCATCAAGAGGAGATAATGCAAGGCTTTGACTTCAAAGATTGCAGATAGGGTATAAAAAGTAGTCAAGCCGATAACGATCTATCCAGTGTATCGACAAATAACAAAGCCCCAAACTAGACTTGTGCTGCCACCACTGAATAGACCTTGAGCCATCGCCGATGACACGGCCTCCCAAGTAACGGATGTGCAAAATCCCATGAATGCGAGGGACCAAATGTTGAAGTTCCGCTGCAGATTTGAGGGCTCCACGCCCAGATTTTGCAAACCATCTTCGTCCCGGGTGTTCGTTTTGAGTGTCTCGTGAAGATCAACCTCTGACCCATTAACCTTTGGGCCTTGTCCTGACTTGTGAGAGCTCGGCATTGTGGAAATGGTCGCTGAGTAGAAGAAGTCTGGAGAGGAGGGGAACCATTGTAGAACAAATAGCACGAGCAGTTGCAATGAAGAGTAACTTGGGTTGAAGAGTAGATGCTTTGTGTTGCATTCCTACTATCCTATCAGCTTTGTAGGTTGCGGATTAATTGCCAATTGGTGTTATCGACGTTCAGCCAATAGAAAACCTGACTAGCCCAAAGCATCGAGGTTAAAGGAGCTGCACAGTGACCTTGTGCGGGACAATCTACACGTATTATTACTCAATTGATAGGCCTGTTCTGATAGGCAATTGCATAAGTCCAGAACTACCAACAACTCTTCTTGATATTGTGTCGACCACCACCGCATACCTGCAGTGGAAAACATATTAGCATTATGAAGGCGACGAAGCTTATTGCCAATTTGTTGTTGCGGTATGATATTGAGTATGTCAAGGTAGGAAAGGGTTATCGGTTTGTGAATTGGTGGTTCACTAGCCAGGGGAAGGTCTCCACGTCACTCTGACTCGCTGTAATTAAATGAAGGTAGATCAATTAGTAAAACCATGTTATTTTGTCTTCAGTAGCATGATATCTGTATATATGGAAGCTTTTCTGGTTTGAACTTACAGTCTGCTTGGCAGTATCACTCCTAATATATATTGAGGTGGTGCAAATGGGTGACTGTTTGTGCCTATTTCGGATTACATTAATTTTATCACATGATAATAATAGAATATTTGACAACGCGGGTTGAGACTTCATTCGCAATCGCATGATCAACTCAATGGAGCTGCATCATTACTGATGTCTGCCATTAGATTAAATTACGCATGTGCCATTGTCTAGAAACTCCGCAACGATGTTGAACAACATTTGAGAGGGTTGAGCACCGCCTCTCTTAGGCAGCACTGACCACTTACTACAAATTCTACGCCGCAGAGTATTTCTTTCCACCTTAACTTCATCCTTTCCTCTAAAGATGAAGTGAGACCTTAACATTTCTCATCATGTCCAGTGCTAATGATAAAGGCGCTTGGGTAGATGTTGGACCACTGCCGCAAGATCCTGTCATGACCGCCGACAAACTCGAGACGAACACCATAGCGAGCGATCCGGCTACCTCATTAGCGGATGACCAGCACAGTACTTTACTCAACAATACGCAGTCATTACACGATTCGTTGGACATCGGAAAGACGTTGCGCCTTGTATCAATTCTTCAGACCACCGAGGACGATGATGAATACGATTGCAACCTCGTTGAATGCGAGTTGGTCGACTTTCCCCTGAACCAGCCACCTCGTTTTGTGTATCTTGAAAGTTCCTTGGCATTTCGCCATGGCGACAATCACTTGAGGTCTATTCTCCTTTCTGGTCGACCTTGCCTGATCTCTCGAGGCTTGGAAGTATGCATCAGGCAGCTTCGCAAAGATCAAGGACCCGAGGGCAAGCGAATACTTTTCTACATTTTGCCTATATGCATAGATGCCGAGACACTTGCCAGCCTTCGCGCAGACACCTCTAGGCTGCTTCGTCATATGGAAACAGTTCAAAATGCCGCAATTGCCAATATCGACGCCTTGAGAGTCATTGGAATCATGAATGTTGAGGAAATCAAGCGTGCACGAAACTTGACGCTGAAAATTCCGGACTGTCAGCCGGGACTGGAACTTTCATACCCACAATACGTCGGTGACTTCAGAATGTTTGAATATGATTCTAAAGCAAAAGCTCTGAAAGCGCATAATCCTCTCGACAGGGTAGCAAATGAAATTCGGCTCATCAAGGTTTCATCAGGCGAAGGCGACCCCGACGCTCCCATCAATCTAAAGCTGAAATGCGTATCTGTGCTAGACGAAGATACAAACTTTTATGCCCTGTCATACACATGGGGCAGTTG